ATTCCTTGTAAGGTGGGTAGACTGTAACGCCCCGTTTGAATTAGAATTATTTGAGATTATTTATTAGTTTATTATTGCCATTGTTATTATTATTAGTAAATATTTATTAGTGATTAAATGTCTAATTGTTTTAAATGCCTATTATTATTATTATATAGGTATTCATATTAGATGTCAATTTGCCTAATTGTTTATTTATAAATAAATATTTGTGTATAATTTTTCCTAGCTACATAAGTTATTTATTGTAATACAAGTCTCGCACCCGGACCGGCTGGAAATCGCCCTAAGCTTGCCTTCCTCGCCGGTTGAACGCGGAACCTGCACGAAACTCCCACACCGGAGGTGTTTTCCGGTGAAGAGCCTCCAACGCTCAAGTCAGATCTTGAGAGATTAATGTATATGAAGATGTATGAGTATATCAGATTGTGTGGAAAATGAGGATTCTCGCCCTTATTTATAAGGGCGAGTTACCTGAGCTGCACGCGCGAGCAAGGCGAGTTCGGCCAACTGTCCTCTGCTCGTCCGTACAACCGCGCGCCTCCACTATCTTCGGTGTCAGAAACGCGTCACTTTTGTCAGAGAATATCAGAGTTTGTTACGGTCGTTGACCAATCACAGCCTGCCGCGTGTCTTTTCCTTTACGTGTTGGTGATTCCCGAGTGCTCTGGTATTCTACCAGTTCTGCGCGTCCATGCTTCCTCGATCGTCTTTCCTCGACCATATCCTCGGATGGCTCGTATCTGTCGACCACTTACGATTCCCTTAACCGCCGCTATCTACTCAACGTTCTATGTGGTCGGTGTCCGGTTCCGCTCGACCACCGGTCCAGTATATAGTATCCCATATCATCTAGTCCCCCCACTCTGGTCGAGTCTGAACGACTCGATCCAAGAGTAAACTTTGGTTTGTGTCGAGGAGGTTCCATTGCATCTTCTTCGACCATCGACCCATTCACTCCTTTCGTACTCACTTTCTTTTCTAACTGTCACTTTCTGCCTTTTGAATTTCGAATTCCGCCACCTGTCCGCCTTTTTTGGGGACGCGTCTTTTCGTCTGCTCTGGAATAATGATGACCTCGTGGCCCACGTCGTCTCGAGCCTCGCGCCTACTTATGCGTCCTTTCTCCTTCCACCGTTGGATTTCCTGCTTTTAATCTTACGGTCAGCCATTCCTCTCTGCCCTTATAAATACCCGCCATTGAGGAACTTTTTCCTTTTCTTCACTGCTGCATCTCGTCGTATTAGGGCTTCCTGCAACCGTCGAGCATCCTGCAACCTTGAGCTCTCCATCTTTCCTGCACATTCTCCACTGTTCGCCATGAGTAAGTTTCTTTATCTTTTCCTCAATTCGTGTTGGTGCGTTTTTAATTTTCGGGTTTTTCTTCTTCTGCCTCATCCTCTTGTCGATTTATAGCTCCGTCCGCATGTTCGTCCTTCCTGCTGTGCTTTCCCTCACTTCTCTTCCTCCTTCTCTTCTGTTT